CTATAAAGGGTACCTACATCACAATATGGACAGGAAATGCCTACTTTGGCAATTTCAACAATCACCTCATGGATTTCATTCCCTTTTGGCAGTACCTTTAGGTATATACCATTCAAAATCATGTCTGGGTGTCACACAACATGAGCAAGTGGGATTTGTCCCAGGGATGCCAGGATGGTTCAGCATCCACAGCTCAATCAATGTGATTCACCACATTAGCAAATTAAAGGATAGAAATCATATGATCAACTCAATAGATACAGAAAAGCTTTTGACAGCAGTCACAGGGGAAAAAAAAGAAATTAAAAGAACTGAAATTGGAAAGGAGGAAGTAAAACTGTCATTATTTGCAGATGACATTATACTATACATACAAAATTCTAAAGATGCCACCAAAAAACTACTAGAGCTTTCCAATGAATTCGGTAAAGTTACACGATATAAAGTGAACATACAGAAATGTGTTGCATTCTGCACACTAACGACAAACTATCAGAAAGAGAAATTGAGAAAACAATCCCACTTACCATCACATTAGAAAGAATACAATACCTAGAAATAACCTAAGGAAGTAAAAGACTTGTACTCAGAAAACTACAGGACATTGATGAAAGAAATTTCAGGAAACACAAACAGGTGGCGAGACATAGCATGCTCATGGGTTCGGAGAATTAATATTGATTAAAGACCTTGCTACCTAAGGCAATCAACAGATTTAGTGCAATTCCTATCAAAATACCGGTGGAATTTTTCACATAGTAAGAGCAAAAATTGTAAAATCTGTATGGAAACACAAAAGACCTCCAACAGCCAAAGCTATCTTAAGAAGACTAGAGCTGGAGGTAACACGCTCCTAGATTTCGGAACATAGCATATATTTTATAATAGCTTTAGCCAGAGTATAATCTATAAAAATTTTGAATGACATTATACACATGAAACTAACAGAAAATTGTACAACTATACCTTAATTTTAAAAAATGTATACATTTATAGATAAAATCACGTCCAAATGTCCAATGGGCACTACCCTGTAAAACCACTTTATGAAAATATGGTATCTGGGACCATGAAGTCTAGAACAAGATACGGGGCTGTCTTATTTACTCACTGCAAATAACTGAAAGAAAAATGAGTCATACATACCTTGCTCATGGATTTGGTGACATCCTTAATGTTTATCTGTAGAATATTCCCAATGATGGGGAGAGGGGTAGGGCCAGGTGGCAGCTTCCCTTTGGCATAGCTTTGGTTCCATAGGAAAAGAAAAATCAAAAAAGAAAGACAAGTTTGTCCACACATGACTCATGAGTTTGGCTAGAACTAATCATATGGCCCCATTCAGCCACAAGAGGTTTATTAAGTGCTCCTGGTAGAAGGACAGCTGGATATATTAGCCAACAACTCTAATGACTACCACAATTTCTCTCACCAAAATTAAGTGAAAGTAAAATGACTTACTTCTAGCTAAAACAAATTCCTTAAATATTAATGATTCATATATGTGATCAAATACACAAACATTTGTATAATAAATATATGAAATAAATATATATATTAAATATATTAAGTAAAAATGTGAATAAAATATGGAAATAAAAATATTTACAATTAAAAAAAAAAAAGAAAGAAAGACAAATCACCAGGACTATCAAGAGATCCATTGATGTGGTTTATGTAAGTGCAACGGAAAGCTTAGAATCCAAAGACTTTTTAAATAGTAGGTGCAAACTCATCAGCAAACATGCAGTAAGTCTTTGAACCCTTGAGTAAATATTGTTTATCATCAGTGCACTTTGGCCTACCAGCAGACACATAAATAAAAACACTCATCTTGGTGTTAATAAATATCCAAGTTTTCAACGGGAATCCCAACTAAAAAACAACTCACTTCTTCAGCGATGGCCATATTTTAGTAATGAAATTCAAAGCTATCAAATTTCAAAGGGTTGGAATTAATGATCACAACAAATGTTGAAAGAGTATCTCTTACGTCAACGTTCATCCTCTTATGAGCAGAAGAAGCACTCTCTTAGTGCCTTTTCTCAGAAGATCCAGGGAAAGGCCACACTTCAAAACAGAAGGAAGGAGGCAGGATAAAAAAGAAAGATATAGGGAGTTGGTCTTATCTTAGAGAAGAGTAGATATCCCAACATGCTTGCAGAACCCTTTTCTATACGTCAGGAGTTCTGACACCACCTACTCCCAAAGTGGGTGCAGGTCAACAGGCAGTAGACAGAAGACAGGAGTAACAGATCTTGAGGATTCCTCAAGTCAAGGAAAGAAATCACTCAAAGACATCAGTGGAAAGCCCCTTGGCTGCACATCGCCCACCACCCTCCTTACTTATACATTTCCAGTGAGGATCATATATCAGAGCATACATTGCCTGTTCACTCTTGGGAGAGGAAATACACTCCAGCATTCAATACTGTAAATATTTTTAAGTGTCTAGAAACTCACAGATATGAATGAAACTTCAAGACTCAGAAGATATTTGAGGAACTCCAACAGCACAACAAATATCAAACTTAAAAATCAGAAAACTAATCCCTAAAGACTTTAGTGAAAACAGAAAAAATTCTAAAATAAATATATCATCAAATTAATTTAGCCATATGAAAAGAAAAACTTCTTAGAAAACTTACTAGAGATTCTCATTAAGTGTCTGATTGCAAAAATGCTTTTTAAAAAAC